TAGCTTCGACCATATTATTGTTAGTATCTTCCTCTTATTTTACCTTCTTCTGATGTTCTCTCCTCTAAGCAATAAAACGATCCTGACCCATAGGCACGAGGTCGTACTTCTTACCCTTATTGACGGTATATATGTGTGTTGGACAATCATATGCAACATCGTTCTCTTTGTACCATGGCTTGCCCAACAATAAGTGACATGAAACCATCGGAGCCGGAATCACGTCACACAAAACCGTGCAATCATATTTTCCCAACAAAAAAGGTACCTCGGTTTGATGTGTGACACTGAGCTCTTCATGACCCCAACAGAACGAGTATGGTTGTGGGAGTGGTGTCATTGGCAGTTCCAACTTCTCCACCATCTCGATGCTTGCCGCGTTGATCAAACTCATGTGGTCGATTGTCAAAGCACATGATCTCTCTTCTACCACAACACGAGTATGAAAAAGTCCATCCCATCGGCCTTCCTCCTCCAACTGAAATCCATAGCTTAGCTTCCATGATAATCCAGTCATCTTTTGCACAGTGTCGTGAACAACCTTGCTCTGATACCACCTGATATAGACCGAATCTAGATGCGAGATTTGGTCTGTTGTTACGGCCCAACTTTTCACGACACTCCACCACCACCAGCAGCAACCTCTCGCCCGCGCACGCGATGTACACGAAGTAGAGGGTTTGAACCTTGCGGCCCAGCACGAGAAAACTAATCTCGACGAAGGTACTCACGCGCAAAAACAATTCCACGAGAAATCGCAACACGGAGATTTTCTGAAGATCCCTCCAAAACTTGATACGGGTCTCTACCCTAAAAAACACATCGTGTCTATTTCATAAAAAAATAACCTCCCTTTTACAATGACCGAACTATGGCTATTTATAGTAGTATAGTTGACCCAACCATGGTTTGACTAACACGCTAGCCACACCCCTAATTCGAAGGAAAGCACAAACTTGACCTACCAAAACATACTAACTGACTTGATTTATCTAATATAATCTAAGGAAACAAAAGCAACGACGACTTGTTTGATTGATGCGGCTTCTTGTGCTATCTGTAGGTGGACCCCATCCGGTTTCTTTTAGAGAAAGCAATTCTTCAATCTTCATAGTCGTCCATGAGTATACCCCTTGATCGGGTGGCCGCACCTGATGGAAAACGTACGTGGTCAGGACTCCGTACAGGACTAATATCTCATGGATGCATGTGACCTTGTTTATCTCTGGACCAAACCAAAACTGATTAAATATGCATGAAGATTCCTTTGTTTGCTCAATCCAAATTCTACATGCTCGTTCCTTGGCATGCACATTCTTGCTCTTGTCAGTGCAATGCAAATTAGTAGTCTCGCTTGTAATAATCATCGAGACTAAGTGTTCTACATCTCCAGATGAAATAACAGTAACCTCGGTATTGACAGAACACGTGGCCGTATCAAGTTCCGTCAGCACGATGGTGTGGTGGTGAAGTGATCTGTGCAGGGCTTCACCTAAGCACTACAAAGATATGACCATGGGAGTAAACTGTGGAGGGGGACGCCGCACACGGCTAACAATTGTCTGGTGTGTGCTAGGGGCGGCCCCCACATATATATATATAGGTGGAAGGGAGAGGGAAAGCAGCCAGAGGCGCCCCAAGTAGGCCGAATCCTACTTGGGGTCCCTCCCCAATTCGGACCCCCTTTCCATGTTTATCGTAAAGGAAGGAAAGATGAGGGAGGAGGGAAGGAAGGGGGAGGCTGAATCCCCCCTTTCATTTTCCCTTCCCCTCTTTCCTTCTCCTCCTGGTTCGGTCCATATGGGGGCGCACCAGCCCCTGGTGGCTGGTGCATTTCCCCTCTTGGCCCAAAAGGCCCATATCTTTTGCTGGGGGGGGGGGGTGCCCGGAACCGCTTTCGGTGATCCGATATGTACCCGGTACCCTCTCAAATAGTTCCGGTGTCTGAATACTATCGTCCTATATATCAATCTTTACCTCTCGACCATTTCAAGACTCCTCGTCATGTCCTTGATCTCATCTGGGACTCCAAACAACATTCGGTTACCAAGTCACATAACTCATATAATACTATATCGTCACCTAACGTTAAGCGTGCGTACCCTACGGGTTCGAGAACTATGTAGACATGACAGAGACACCTTTCCAGTCAATAACCAATAGAGAAACCTGGATGCTCATATAGTCTCCCACATATTCTACGAAGATCTATATCGGTTGAACCGTTATGACAACATCCGTTATTCCCTTTGTCTTCGGTATGTTACTTGCCCGAGATTCAATCGTCGGTATCTTCATACCTAGTTCAATCTCGTTACCGGAAAGTCTCTTTACTCGTTTTGTAATACATCACCTCGTGACTAACTCCTTAGTCGTTTGCTTGCAAGCTTATGATGTGTATTACCGAGAGGGCCCAGAGATACCTCTCCGATACTCGGAGTGACAAATCCTAATCTCGATCTATGCCAACTCAACAAACACCTTCGGAGATACCTGTAGAGAATCTTTGTAATCACCCAGTTACGTTGTGACGTTTGATAGCACACAAGGCATTCCTCTGGTATCCGGGAGTTGCATAATCTCATAGTCGAAGGAATATGTATTTGACATGCAGAAAGCAATAGCAATAAAACTGAACGATCATTATGCTAAGCTAACGGATGGGTCTTGTCCATCACATCATTCCCCTAATGATGTGATCCCATTATCAAATGCTAACTCATGTTCATGGTTTGGAAACCTTAACCATCTTTGATCAATGAGCTAGTCTAGTAGAGGCTTACTAGGGACACTATGTTTGTTTATGTATTCACACATGTATTAAGGTTTTCGATCAATACATTTCTAGCATGAATAATAACCTTTATCATGAATAAGGAAATATAAACAACAACTTTATTGTTGCCTCTAGGGCATATTTCCTTCAAAAACACCATATGATCCAACTATATTAACAAAGCCCCTGATTCATCAAGATCGTGCCATCAAGAACACGAGAGAGAGAGAGAGAGAGAGAGAAAGGGAGAGATTAAGCACATAACTACTGGTACAAACCCTCAGCCCCGAGAACTACTCCCTCCTCATCATGGAGACCATAGGGATGATGAAGATGGCCTCCGGTGATGATCTCCCCCTCCGGCAGGGTGCCGGAACGGGCTCCCGATTGTTTTTTCGTTGCTACAAACGCTTGCGGTGGCGAAACTTCCGATCTAGGGTTATTTCTGATGGTTTATCTATTTATAGGATTTTTTTGCATCAGTTTCACGCGAAGATGGGCCTCGAGGTGAGCACAACCCACCGAGGCGAGCCAGGCCTCTCTGGCGCACCGTGGGGGATTGTGCCTGCCTCGTGGCTCTTCTGGCCCTCCCACAAAGCTTTGGGGGTCTCTTTTGTTCCAAAAAAATTGTCAAAATGTTTCAGCTCATTTGGAGAACTTTCATTTCTGCACAAAAAACAACACCACAGTAGTTCTACTGAAAACAATGTCAGTCCGGGTTAGTCCCATCCAAATCATTACCAAAACCATATAAAATTGTTTTAAACATGGCATGAATACTTCATAAATTATAGATACGTTGGAGACGTATCAATGTCAATTGTGCTAACAATATGCAAAACCCCAAGCTTGGGGATGCTAATTTTGCTATGTCCACTACTTGTTGCAATGATCATGATTGGGGTGATTTTTCTTATGATCTTGAAAATTTATTTAAGCCTCATGATGAATATGTTTGCAATAATATTGAAAATGGGTTTGGAAGAGTATCAACTCTAGGTAATAATGATCCCACTACTTTGGAGTATGATCAATCTTATAATTTTTTGATAAAAGTGGGCCTGGAGAGGTCATGACTTTAGTTAATGTTAATCCCACTATCTTAGAAGAGTGTCAACTTTGCATGCATGTGGATCATGTAGAGAATATGTTATGTGCTAGATATATTATTGAATTTGAATATGATCCCACATGTAATTATTATGAGAGAGGAAAATATGGTTGTAGAAATTTTATGTCACTAAATTACCTCTCGTTATGTTGAGATTGCTTTTCTTTCTTTCTTCTTCCTTGCATAACTTAGTTTTTGCTTGTCTTGATAATTTGTTTACTTATAAAATGCATATGCATCGAAAGTATGTTAGACTTAAACTTGTTTTTCACGTGCTACGTGATGCTCTCTTCGTATTTCAATTTGCTATCTTTCATATGAGCATCATTGAAATCTCAATGCCTAGCTAAATGGCTTTAAAGAAAAGCGCTTGTTGGGAGACAACCCAATATTTTTCTTTTCTGTTTTTGTGTGTTTACACATTATTACCTTTGTATTAATTGTGTTTTAGTGTTTTAATTAGTGATTGATCCAAGTAAGACCTTTGGGATGATATATGGTGATAGTTAATTTGATCTTGCTGTTACTGAAATTCTCAGTATGATTCTTGGTTACAAATATCATGATTTAGAATCGACATCTCAAAGCCATTATTTGACATAGCTTATTATCAAACAACACTATCCCATTAAGATAAATGGTTTTCTGTGTCATTTAATTGTCTCTAATGTCCGACCACTCGTTTTATCTCGTTTTATCTTAGTGCAAAATCTATTTCTGAATCATTGCCTTAAAGCTGGCATGTTTTGGACTCGAAACAAACTTGAGAGATGTCGACACGGCATTAAGGAATGTGATAAAACCAGGTGTATCTTTGTATGCTATTTAAGCGTATCAGTTTCTTTGAATGTGAGTTCCCTAAACAAGCAATATTTTCATGTGATGAGCCTAAATTTTGAGCGATTTGTATTTGTGTTTGTTTACTTGAACATATAAGTCACAAATGGATGGCTGTTCACAGCCATCATAAGCTACTAGAACATCAAAAGAAGTTGTGTTCTCGTAGTTTAACATATGTTTTATTGTATCTGATTAATCAAGCTCTTGGTTTGCATGTCAAAAGAAGAGATAATTTGACCTGAAGTGTTTTCCTGCACCCTTGTACAGAAGGACATGTTAACTCTGGCAGGCCCATCTCGAGGATTTGTCGTATCAGATACAATGTTTTTTGAGATCAATCTTAAAATCAAGGGTGATAACATCACTGGTGACAGAGATTTTAGCAAAGGTGTAATAGAACACTATCTTGTCCCATTTGAAAGTCAACCTGCGACCTCGCTGCTACATAGTTGGCCGAGTACCGTAGAGTTGGTATGTGAGCCTATTCCATATCCTGTGGCAGTTACTCTTGACTTCAAGATCTTGAATGGACAACTTGATCTCCCTTTCAAGGGGAAAATATCTGCTGGGACAACTGAAAATACTCACAACCATATCGTTCTCTATGAATATGATGACAGTAAAGCAACCGACACTCACAGACTAATTGGAGATGGTCACTTGGTTGTGCTAACTCGTAAGTTGGTAGTTGTTACAAGGCTGAACTTCGTGCTCGATGAAGAACCAGAAAGTATGATCTATGTTTGCTTTTGTGACAAGGATGATGAAGATAAGCAGACCTTGGTGATGCTACAACACCCTGATGAGGAGATGGTTTGCAGTCATGGTTCCTACAAAATGCATTTGAAGGTTGTTTGGAGGCCTATCTTAAAAAGCCCACTGCACGACAATTTTGAGAAAAGATGGCGGTCTGTGCACATGAGATCGTTTATGATTCCTTAGGACGAACATGCCTTTGTGAAAGATGGTGGTGTTATTAGCTCTTTATTTTTCTGTTTGTTTTCCTTGTAGAACTTGATCTGTGAGGGCATGCCAGCCTCTCCTTGGATACCTGCAACAGTTGCTATTGTTATCATTACTCACTTGGTCCTTAAACTGTTTATGTTTTTATCATAGGCATAGTCTAAGATGCAACTTGAACACATATTTACTTAAATTACAACATAGTTCAGTGAGCTCTGAATGTGAAGATTCACCTTTGTGACAAGATACAATAATGAATTGTTGTGATACTTGTAAGAGGCTTGAATCTCAGATGTTCAGAAGGATGTGGGTGGGAATGGGAACAATTTTTCCGTACAGGAGTCGAATGGGAACAGTTTTTCCGTACAGGAGTCGAATGGGAACAGTTGGTTTTCACTTCTGAGGGGATTCAACTTAGGGCGACTCCAATATACTAGAAATAAGGTTGGCCACAACGGATTTAGGGTGTTCAGAGTGTCGATATTAGCCAGCTTCTAACATTGTGGGCATCCACCATATAAACAAAAAGTAATACTAATACCGAGGTCGCCCTTTGCTATGAGACCCGGCCGCAGCAAATACATATACTACTTTCTCTCCAATCTTTCCATTTGTATTCGTTATGAGCTCCTGCTTTTCCCCAGGGCTTGATCCTTGAATAGGATTAGCCATTGTTGAGGGATGTCAGAATGAGCCACCAAACCTATTTAGTGTCGGACAATGAGGTATTGTTTTTGACATGGTCATTCCTGTTTTTCTAGATGCACCACAAGGTGCAAGAACAGTCTGAGTGCTTCTTATTAGCATGCCAAAACCTAGCAATAGACAAATAATGATCACCCAGAGGACCTCAAAGAAATCTGAGATATGAAATAAAATCTGTTTAGCTACCAATCAAAGAAAAGATGTCTAATGGATTCATCCTTAGAACTGAACACACAATCTTCAGGTTTGTTTTGGTGGGCGTTGCCGCGCCCATTCCATTATCAGGCTACCCTTGCTTTCTGTAGTTAATTAAGTTGGCACAAACTAGATACTACACACGCCAAATAACATACTATTCAATGTCATTAAATACATTATTTCTACTGAAAACGTTGAGCAGGTATTCAGGCATAGGGTGTCATGCCTTCATTATATTCCATCACTTCCGCTTCAGTACAACCCCCTAAACACATCGAGGGCTCAGATTATCCCATACCCCTTCATAACAAAGGGCAGGATGGTCTTTTCTTAACATCTTTCTTTAGCAGTTGGTCTTTTTTTAAAGCACGTCTACGGTATACAAATTCCACAGGTGCTGGGCCGGCCCATTAAGCTACCACGTTCAATATAAGCTCAACCTAAAAATAAATACATGGAAAATGTAGAGGTTATGAGGATTTGAACTCAAGACCTCCCAACTAAACAACACATGCCGATAGCCACTTCAACCAACAACGGCTTATGTTATTTCCTAGCGAGAAATATATATACACAGTAGCGTACATATATATGAAATATTTTCTGAAAAAAAAGTGAAACTTTTATTAAAAAATGCGAACAATTTTTAAATGCCGAATAGTTTTGGAATTTGAGACCGAAATTTGAGCATTTTTTTTAAAGTGAACAAGATTTCGAAACACAAACAATTTCCGAACATCTTTCAAAACATGAACAATTTTTAAAATTTGCGGTTTTCTTTGGGGGGAGGTGGGGGGGTTGTTTGTCCCATTTTCTTTTTTATTTTTCAATTTTATTTTGATCTCAATTCTCTTTAAAAAAAATCATGAACTGTTTTTAAATCGTGAACCTTTTCTTAAATTCATGAACTTTTCAAATTCGGAAATATTATTTTAATATCATGTACTTTGTTTTCAAATCTGTGAACGTTTTCAGTTTTATGAACTTTTGTTGTCCTTTGAGCTAGGTGTGGGCTTAAAAATCGACAAATCAAAGACCGAAACGATACCGAAAACGAAAAAACTAGATTTTTGGTTTTTTGTGTTGGTGTTGGAATATTTCCGCCACAAAGTCGACTGGTTGAAAAAAGGTTTATCAATTTCAGAAAAGTAGACAATTTTCTTTCCTATGTACACTCAAACAAATGTACAGCAATAAATCAACACCACCCAATCACATCCATTTAATTAAATATTATATCTACAACATGTTGATTGCTTTTCCATCTTTGCGGTGCTATTGTCGTCTTAGGACTTTCATATGAATCTCTGATTCTTTTTTCCCTGTTTCTGCTTGGAGTCAGGTCATGCGAGTTCATCCAACCATTCACGTACAACTATGTGCTGCATTGCAATTTGCAAGTAACCTTGCTTCAGCAGAGGAGATTGGGCGATGGACTTGCTATCAGCCTGGTTATGAACTACTATGTCTATTCCTAAATAGATAGCATATTAGAAAGCATGCACTCTAAATTTGGCTCATGCAATAAAAAGAGTAATCATATTGTTTTCTTGAGTAAAGAAGGTATTCAAGAAATGTACGTGAAAGGAATATTGATTTATGAAGAATGATATTTCAAATTATGTATGCCAAGAAATACTCCATCCGTTCCAAAATAGATGACTCAATTTTGTACTAATTTTAGTACGTACAAAATTAGTATAAAGTTGGTCATCTATTTTGGAACGGAGGGAGTAGGTACTATACACTTCGTGTGAAATTTCAAATTTTCAAAAGGTTAATCTATTATTTTTAGGGAAGGGTATCCTACATATGATTACATGTGTTAGCCGAGACGTGCAAGGCAAGCTTACTGGTGTGACAAAAGTTTGTCGAATTGGAAAAAGTTCATCAGTTTGAAAAATGTTAAGAATTTGATGAAAAGTTCACAAATCTGAACAAAAAGTTCGTAAAATAAAAAAAGTTCTCAATTTTGACAAAACAAAGTTCACAAATTTGATAACAGTTTGTGAAATTCAAAAAAGTCCATCGACTTGAAAAAAGGTTAAAGAATTTGTAAAAAAGTTTTAAAAATCATGAAATTGATAAAAGTTTGCGATATTGAAAAATATTCATTCATATGAAAAAAGTTAAGTTCACGGATTTAAAAAATGTTCATGAATTTAAGAAAATGAAAAAAGAAAATAGAAAAATAAGAAGAAATAAAGAAAAATAAAGCGAAGAAAAAAAGGCAAAAAGAAAAACAGACTGATAAGATGCACAACAAGAAGTATAAAAAAGAAGCCAGACACAAGAGATAAATTGAATAAAAGAAGAAGCTAGGCACAAGAGATGCGCTGTCCTAGTTGGTTAGGGCAGGTAGATATAAGGGCATCTCCAGCCGTTCGGCCCCCCAGGGCGTCTAAATTCGGCATCCTGGGGGCGTGCCGGCGCTAGCTCGGCCCCTGGGGGCGAGCTAGCTCCCAGTCACGCACCCACGCGCCGGCCCCAGGACGCGGTTAATTCAAACTCGGCCGTTCCCGCTCTCAAGATGCCGCAAGTCCGGCGATCGGGCATAGTCTGTCGTTACAAAAAAAAAGAGCGCCGCCGCCTCGGCGGGGTCATTCATCACTCGGCGGGGTTGGTCCCAGGTGTTGGCGGAGTGGGCGTGCGCGAGCTCGGCGGCATCGGAGCTGCTTCGGTGTTGGGCTGCGTCGGCGCGGCTTCGACACTGCTGGGCGGCGACGTAGAGGCTTCGCTCGGGCTTGGCGTCCGTGCGGCCGTGGGCGTCGTCGGCGTCGTGGGCGTTGCCATCGGCAGCTCGTTCAGAATGAGGCCGCGCTGAACCAGGTACCACGCCTTAAGCTTCTCGTCGTTGCTCTGAAGCAAGTCCGCCGCACCCATCAGAAAAGCCATGTCGGTGTTCCTCTTCTTTGCGGCGACGTTCGTCCGGAGCAGGTCGAGCTTGATGGCGTTGTTCTTCATTAGCGCCGACCACCGCGCCTCGGTCTTCTCTTCGCGTAGGACGGCCCGGGCCTGGACGTCGGCGAGGCAGTGCTCGATGGACTCCTGCACTCGCGCGGTTGCCGCGTCGGCGTTCTTCCCCTTCTTGGCCAATTTGTGGCCGTTCGGCCGCCCTTCCGACGCGCCTGGAGTCGGCGCGTCCGGCTTGTACGTCTCCTTGGCCTTGTCGAGGGCACGTCGGACTTCCGCCCACTTCTCGCACTTGTCAATGCGCTTGTAGACGTGAAGGTGCTTGAAGTCGGTGTCTTGGTTGTCACCCCGGAACATGGCGAACATGCGCAGCAGCTGCGCGTATGGACGAACAGTTGGCGAACCGCGGGCGCAGGGACGAAGATGTGCAGGCGAACGGCGTGCGTACCTGATCTTCAACGCTGGCGCCGCTCTCCGGGCGAGCCGCGACCTCCTCGATGATTCCGTGCCATTTGTTGCACGCCATCTGGATACGCCCCCAATGGTTCACCATCGCCTTGGCCCCGCGCTGCATGTACATGCCTTTGAAGTAGGGGTCGACGAGCTTCCGCTCGTCGAACTCGGCCTTGATGCGGTCCCAGTACGTCTCCAAGCTCTGGTTCGCGCCGGTGGTCGGGTCGAGGCAGACGACTTTCCACGCTTCGGCGAGGCATTCCTCCTCCTTGGACGTCCATTTGATGCGCGGCTCGCCCGACCTCGCCGCCCGCTTCTTTTTCTGGCGCCCCTTCGTCGAAACAGGAGCCGGCTCCTCCTCCTCCTCCTCCTCCTCCTCGTCCTCGTCCTCCTCCTCGGGCTCCTGCGCATCGTCGCCGTAGACGTAGCCGAGCTCGGCCTTCATGTCGCCGCTGAGGTCGACTACCTCGTCCTGGGTGGCGAAACCGGGAGACGAGGCGGCCGCGGCCGATCCTGTCGCGATGATGTCATCCATGTCGGCTCCCGTGTCGTCGGCGTCGCCGAGGTGCGAGAAGGGCAGCGGCCCGCGGTAGAGATGTGGCGTTGGCGTGGTCGTGTAGGCGGGGGGCGGCGAGTAGTTGTATGGTGGGTACTGCACACCGGCGAAGGCGGGCGATGGAGTGCGCGTAGCGGGGTGACCATGAGGGAAG